TCCGCAACATTCCCAATAGAATCCGGCATACCCCAAGGTAGTGTCCTCGGACCCCTACTGCACTCCATCTACACTGCCGGCTTACCCATATCAAACGAGATAACAATAGCAACATTTGCAGGCGACACAGCGCTATTAGCTACCCACGCAGACCCGGTAATAGCCTCATCCATTCTCCAGCGAAGTCGCGACACCATGGAAAAGTAGTTTCATAAATGGGGCTTCAAAATTAAGGAAAAAAATCCTCACATGTAACCTTCACGCTCCGAAAACAAACCTGCCCCCAGGTCACCATCAAGAACACAACAATTCCTAGCAAGGACTCAGTCGGATACCTGGGCATGACCCTGGACAAGAGACTAACGTGGAAAAAACACATCTCAGATAATACGAAGCAGCTAAAGGATAAACTAAAAAAATTCTATTGGCTCACGGGCCGACGCTCCAAACTAAACATACAGAATAAAATTACCCTCTACAAGACCGTAATAAAACCTGTCTGGACCTACGGAATCCAACTATGGGGAACAGCAAGTAACTCCAACATTGAAATACTTCAACGCTTCTAATTGAAAACGCTAAGATCCTTAATAGATGCACCTTGGTATGTTACCAACGAAACAATACATCGCGACCTCAAGATACCCACAGTCAAAGAGGAAATAGCAAAATGTAGCGACAGATATAGCAAAAGTGTCAACAAACACCGAAACTCCTTAATAACTGGACTACTTGATAAGACGGACCAGATCCGCAGGCTGAAGAGACACTACCCGCTAGACCTAAACGATAGATTCAACAACTTATTTAAATTAAGTAATATTTACTTACTTACAATACTTACGTACAAATTATACTTATCTATAATAAGTATTAACGAGGATTTCTGCCCCTTTAAACCGAGAAGAAGGCTTCAGAAGAGCCCTACGATTAGTGAAAGGACGGAGGTAGGAGTGGTTGAGGAATCGGAGGGTTCCTTTGGAATTAGAGGGAGCGACTACAGTACGCCGGTAACAGGGGAAGGACTGGCCAACGCTAGAATGATGGCCAGGAGGGCGGTGGAGAGGAACGTCAGCGCGAAATCTGCGAGATCGGCTATGGCTAGCGAAGCCGAAGATAGCGCGGGAGACGATACGCAGACGAGCGACGTAGATGACGAGGATGTTTTGATTTCCAGGGCTGAGTTGAAAAGGTTCACACAAGCCTTAGCTGGAGTGGTCCAAATGTTTAACGTGGTTGTGAAGAACTCAAAGTTGGACAAAGATAAGGACGAGGGGATAAGGGAGATAGGTAACCAGATAAAAGGCATCCTGCCTTCCTTGGAGCAGTGTGGGGAGCACAAGGATAGAAGAAGGAGAAGGAGAGAGCCTGTCGAGGTTGAAAAAAGGGTAGACAGGGCAGACATGAAGAGAGAAGAGACGATAGCTAGGGGCGGATACCCAAAAAGAAAGATAGTATAGCCGGCTGAAATTATGAGAGATGAGGAGTATAAGAGGCCTCGAAGAGGAGAGGTCACATACGCCGATACGTGCGGGAGGGAGAACAGAGCGATAAGGGGTGACTTCAGCGAGGATTCCGAAGGATGGATAAGGGTAGGAAAAAGGAAGAGGAAGAGGAAAGCTCCCTTAGAGCAAGCTACGCCGATGGTGCGTCCGGGAAATAAACAGCAGGTTGGTGCCAAAGAGAGAGACATACCAAGAAACAAGAAGAGGAAGGAAGCTATTCTCATTAAGGTGGCGGACGGGAAGGTTGCGAATGGCTTCATGTTTATAAGAGGATAATGGAGGTGAGGAGTTCATTGGAGGGAGCCACGGAGGTCCGTAGGATGAGAGCGGGCCACATCCTCATTGAATTCGACAGGGCGGTGGTGGTTAGCGAGGGGGCGGCCACATTGAGAGCCGCCTTGAATGATAGTGCGAAGGTGGCCGCTCTGGTGAACAGGGCGACCCTACAAATAAGGAACATTGATCCCCTCACCAGCAGGGAAGAGCTGGTGGAAGAGATCAGGTCGCAGTGGGGAATTGAGGAAAATGCGGATATAGAAGTCAAATGTATAAAAGCAGCCCCGTGGGGCACGCAAGAGGTGGAGGTGGTCCTCCCGGCGGGTGGAGTGCCTAGTGCCGAGAGAGAGAAAGGACGAGATAGGAGAGGGAGAGGAGAGAGGGAGCAGAGAAAGGAGGAGTGACTGGGCTAACGATAGCTTCTGCAAAGCAGTTAGCTAATGTTCGGCGGTGTTATAGGTGCCACATGTTGGGGCCTGTGGCGGCAAGGTGTACTGTTGTATGTCATGGCAGGGAATTGTGTAGGAGGTGCGGCAGCGCTGAGCATATAATGAAAGATTGTGATAAAGAGTCGAGATGTGCTATGTGTTTGAAACATGGTTGCATAAATGCAAGGCATGTAACAGGTTCGTTGGTGTGCCCTACGGTGCGCTTAGGTGTTAGGAATAGACGGGGGCCTAATTAGGGTCCTGCAAATAAATCTAAATAGGTGCTTGCTTGCGCAAGATCGAATGATGCAGTGCGCATGTGAAAGCAGGGAGGACATTGTGGTCATCTCCGAGCCCTATAGGCAGTTGCCTTTTTGATTTAATGACGAGGGTGCATCGGTATGGGTCACCCTGTTTAATGGAAAACATGCGGCGAGCGAGACCCTGATAAGAAATGTAGGGATTGTAGGGGTCAGGGTTTGTGACGTGTTTTGCATCAGTGGGTATTGTTCCCCTAATAAGAGTAAGGATTAGTTTAACGATTATTTGAAGGAACTGGAAGGGGTCATAAAGGTGGGGAGGAAAAGAGCACCGGCGATTATGGTTGCTGGTGACTTTAATGCGGTGTGGGGGGGGGCTCTAAGACGGAACGTAGGGGAACATGACTGCTGAACGCTATAACGAGGAACGAGCTTATACCTATTAGGACGACGGGGAATAAATTACTCCTTCCTGAGAAATGGAGGGACTAGTTTCCCGGATATACTTAGTGTTAATAGACGAATGAGGCTGAGTTGGAGGGGGAGTAGGGTCCTAGATTGGTACTCAGCCTCTGACCATCTTTATGTTGAGAATAAGTTGAGAGATAATATTAAGCGGGTGGAGGGTGGCGCTTTTAAATACTTGACGAAAGAGATGGATGTAGAGGGGTTTTTAAACAAATTTGACGGAGTTTATGACGAAAATGGTTTTAAATTTGACGAGACGGTATGCGGCGAACGACTGCAGAAGGGTCTGGAGCATACGTGTGCCGTGGACTTGAAGAGAAGATACCCGGCGAGTGCGAAGAGGAGCGCCAACGATTGGTGGAGCTATGAGCTCGCTACGTTAAGGAGTGAAACTTTAGGAGCTAGAAGGAGAGCCCCGCGAGCGGTGGCGGTCCGCAAGGATGATGCCGAGGTCCTGGTGGCCGAATTCAAGGATGTTAGGAGGCGACTGAAAAGGGCGTAGCAAGGAGGAGAGTTGGAAGGGGTTCTACGCCATCTTAGATCAGAATCCATGGGGCAGGCCGTATCGTGTAGTGAGGAAGAAGATGATGCGGTCGGCGCCAATGGAGCGCCTTGGAAGAGATAGAGTGGAGGGAATCCTGGATGCCCTCTTTGTCACCAGGCAGGAACTACCGGCTACACAGGAAGGGTGATCGATCCTACCTGGCGAAGAAGGCGGGTTGAGCATCGAGGAAGTAGACATGAGGATGGCCGTTGGGAAATGCGATCCCAGGAAGGCGGCTGGAGTGGATGGGATTCCTGGCACTGTAGTGGGGTTATTGTCGAAGCAAAGACCTAGCGTGCTCCTGATAGTGCTCAACGGAATAAATACCCATGGAAAAATACCGGCGGTATGGAAAGGGGCTAGGGTGATACTAATACCCAAGCCTGGTAAAGATCCTGCGACGTCATCGGCGTATAGGCCGATTAGCATACCGCCGGCGTTGAGCAAGGTGTGGGAGCACAAGCTGAAAATGCTCATAGAGAGGAGCGTTGGTCAGGATGCCTTCCATAGGGACTAGTATGGCTTCAGGAGAAGGAGGGCGACTCTTGAAGCCCTGGATAGGACGGTCGCAGTTGCTGAAGAGTGCAGAAGGAAGGGCCTGGTGTGTGTCCTGGTCGCCCTTGATGTGAAGAACGCCTTAAACATTCTAAGGTGCGAGAGGATAATGGAGGAGGTTCGAAGGAGACGGCTACCGGGACGGCTACAGGAGTTGTTAGCAGACTATCTGGCTGAGAGGAGAATACACATACAGCAGAGTACAGTGGCTGGTACACTGTCGTGACGGTGTCGTAAGGAGGAACGTCTACGCGGGGGTTCCGCAGGGGTCGGTCTTAGGGGATTAGTGTGGAATCTCGTGTATGACGGGGTGCTGGAGGCGCTGGACAGGGAAAAGAATACTGAAGCAGTAGCGTTCGCCGAAGATCTGGCGGTTCTATTCAAGGTCAGAGGGTCCCAGGGTATCAATGAGAAGATAAAGGCGGTCATAGCCTTGGTCACCAGGTGGTGCTGCGATGCTGGATTGCATCTAGCCAAGTAGAAGACGGTGGTTATCCTCTTAACAAAGAAAAGGATAGGAAGATTTTTAACGTTAACGTGGGGGATGGGGGGAGAGATTAGCCGTGTTGTGATGTCCCTAGGGGTAGTATTAGATAGTGCTACGGGATTCTCCCCCCAGCTCAAATCAGTTTATGATAAAGCGGAACGGTTCTTGGGCGCCATACGGAGCCTACTCCCAAACGTCGGTGGGCTCAACGATTTAGTCAGGAGACTGTATTATGGCGTCTGGGAGTCTGTGGTTTTATATAGCGCACTGATATGGGTCTCCTCCCTGCGAAGGGAAACAAATTGGACGATCATGAAATGGGCGCAAAGGGCGCCGTTGATCCGTACGTCTACCGCCTACCGGATAGTGTTACATGGGGCTCTGTGTGTGCTTACCGGTAGCATGCCAATTTACATCAAGGCATGGTTGCAGTGGTAGCAGTATGGAGTGAAGAGGCGGATCAACGACAGCCCTGAAGAAATGGCACATGCTGGGCATCCGCTGATCTTCTACAAAAGAAAGAGGACGATCAACTATCACACGATGCAGATCCCTACGGGACACGGTATCTTTAACTCGTACCGTCATAGGATCGGCAAAGAGACGCATACCAGTTGTTGGGATTGTGGTGCGGTGCTGGATGACGCCGAGCATGTGCTCTTTTGGTGCCCTAGATGGACGGAGGAGAGAATGGAGTTTGAGATCGGTGGAGATTTTAAACTGGTTGGTTAAATTGGAAAAAAGGTCGGCAAATACTTCCCCTGCCTATGTATATTAAAAAATAAGTATGGCGTCGATGAAGGATCCATATTACCTGT